AGCTGAGAAATATTTTGTGCATTCATATGGAAAGATATCCAAGATATATTGTTTTTTAAATTTTATAAGAATCATTTTATTTACTTCTATTCATTATTATTATTATTCAAATTGACCAGAGAGAGAGAGAGGTAAAGTGAGAAAGGAAGCCACCAATTCCAGGAGTTGGACCACAGTCAGCCATGTGGGAATCTAGCACCTTAACCACTATGCCACTTGCTAGCCCCTCAAGGTATATTGTTAAGAGAAAAACAGGCAAAGTAAACAGGTATATAGTGTTACGCTAATTACATAAAAGCTATACACATACAAACATATACACATGTTTATTTCATATGTAAACCTATTAACATTTTATGGGAGTATAATACATATATGGAAAAGTGTACAAGTGTAAACTCCAAAAAATTTCATAAACTAAGCACACCCATGTAACTGGCACCTAGAGTCTAAGTCCTAGATAAAGAAACAGAGCACTAAACATGGATGTGCAAGTGTTTTTCTGACTGAGTGTATTCCTATCTTTTGGATAGATACCCAGGAATAGAACTGCTGGGTCATATGGTAGTTCTATTTGTAGATCTTTGAGGAATCTCTGTATCATTCTCCATAGTGGCTGTACTAATTTATATTCCCACCAATAGTGTAGGAGAGTTCCTTCTTCTCCACAGCCTCACCAGCACTTACCATTTATTCTTTTAACTGAGGCATTATTCACAATTCCTAAGACATGGAACCAACCCAAATGTCCACAAAGAGATGAATGGATTGAAAAAATGTGTCACATATACACAACAGAATACTACTCAGCCTTTTAAAAAAAGTGAGATCTTAGCATTTGATAGAAAGTGGACAAATATAGAAGACTTACTCAGTGAAGTAAGCCAGACTATAAAAGAAAGGCAATGTATGTCCCCACTTAATATATACCAAATGTCTGCATTCTATGGCAGAAACAGAAATACTGGACAATATAAAGGCATGGAGAGCAACTGTGTATACCAGAAACAGTGTGGGAAACGGTGGGCAATGGCAGAGGGTGGGAAATGGCAGAAGGTGAGAGGGAGGGAATTAAAGGAAAAGAGAAAGAAGTTAAATAGTTAAGAAATACAAAATGGAAAATTATCTGTTGAAGACAAAAGGTATGGTAATATCTTTGATTGGACTAATATTCAGTGTATTCCGGATGAGAAATTCATTTTGTATGCTGTAATGATATACAGTGAATTAATGTAAAATTGTTTAATAAAATTAAAAATTTTGGGAACCAGCAGTTAGCGTAATGGCTATGTCGCTGGACTCCCACGTAGTCGACCACGGTTCGCGTCTCGGACCCGGTGGCTTAAATCTCACGCCAGGTGCGTGTGCGTGCGTGCCCAAGATCCCAAGAGGAGAATGGAGGAGAAGGGATTGCGGCGTGACCATCCCCCCTGGTGGGTGATTTCTCGCTTTCTGTCTCTATGTCTCTGTCTGTCTGGCGAGCGCACGCACCCTATAGCGAAAACCTCTCCAAAAAAAAAAAAAAGGAAAAAAAATTTAAAAAAAGAGGACGACCACAGGTGACCACCAGGATATTCTAGGAAACGCCAGCATGTAGCATATGCAAAAATAACAAAAGAATCATAGTCCTATATGTCCCCAGTTCTAAACTAAAAAGAATGAAAGAGAGATAGCACTGTCACTACAGAAGCCTCATCATCTCCCTTCCAGTCACTGCCTCTCTTGTACTAGTGTAGCCACTATCCTTATTTCTAAAAATATAAGATAGTATTGCTTATTTTTGTACTGTATATAAGATGGACCCACACAATATGTACTCTTCTATGTATAGCTTTTTTCATCTAACATTATATTGGTGTGATTTATCAATAGTGTGTACACTGTTCAGTTTCATTGCCATTTTGAATTCTATTGCACATTTGTGCCACATTTTATTTACCATTCTATTTTTTATAGGCATTTGGGCACTTTCTAATTTGAGACTCTTATAAATACCACTGCTGTGAAAATTCTACTATATGCAAACATAAGTTCCACTTACTAAAGTGAGGACTTGCTGAGTCAGAGGACCTGCAGAGCTGCAATTTTAGTAAGTACTTCTGTATAGTTTAAAAAATTGATTGTACCATTTACACTCTCATGAACAGTGTATGAGAGTTTCAGTTGTTTCAAATCTTCACCCACATTCAGTATATTCTATATTTTTCATTTTAGTCATTCCAGTATTTGGACATTGTATTGTATTGAAGGTAGAGTTTGTAGCTCCCTGATGATTGATGATATTGAGTTGATTACTTTATTTGCTACTTAGATACAGTCTACTATGAAGTGTGTAAGCTTTCTGTTCAATTTCCTATTGGATTATCTGTCTTCATTGCTTAAATGTTCAGCCATGTGAATATATTATTTTTTGAGAGTAAATTTAAAGAAATGTAATTTAAAATATAAATTCTTTAAGTTAGTCGCTTCAAGCTCTCTCCTTATTAGAAATTTATATTCATTTTCAAGAGCTTTAAAAAGTACTATACTTTTCATCTCCACAAAACAGTTTTTTTTTTTTAATTGCTGCTTCCATGGGGCCACCAGGTGGCATAATGGTTATAGTGCTGGACTCCCATATGGTTGACCACGGTTCAAATCCCAGACACGGTAGCTTGAAAATCAAAGCAGGCATTTGTGCATGCATGCCCCAAATCCCAGAAGAATGGAGGAGAAGGGAATTGCAGCATGGCCAACCTGAGGTAACTTTCCTGTTTCTGTCTCTCTCCAGTGAGTGCATGAACCCTGTGGCAAAAAACTTTAAAAAATTAAAAATAAATTAGCTTTAAAATGCTGTTTTCTTTGTGTAATTGCTTTTTGTGAATAATTTTTTAAAAAAATTTTTAACAACTATTTTATTTAAATTTATTTATTTGCGTATTTTACTTTGACCAGAGAGGGACAGAGAGCAAGAGAAAGAGAGAGAGAGAGAGAGAGAGAGAGAGTGTGTGTGTGTGAGAGAGAGAGAGAGAGAGAGAAAGTGAGAAAGCAAGTCACCAGGTCCAGACTCAACCACCAGGTCCATGGTCAGCCATGTGGGAGTCCAACACCCTTAACCACCCAATTAATTTTCTCTTTCTTTGCTTGGATTTTAAAAAGTTCTCTTTCCAGTTTTATGACATATTTCATTAGATCTATCAAACATCTATCAATATAAGTTCCCAAATATTCAAAATTAAATAATCTATCATTTCAATTCTTTTATTCTTTTCTCTTGGGACTTGCCATTTTCCTGCTCCAGAGGTTGCTTATTTTGCCTCTAATCTCTTTTCCTTTCTCATTTTCTATGTCTTGTTTTACAGACCCTATCTTTTTTCTACCTTGACTTACTCCCATTTTGCTGGAACACATTCTCTTGTAGCTTTCTTAAAGAGAGAGAGAGAATGAAAAGTGTTTCCAAACTTGTACATGTGCTAATGTTTTCATCCTGTGCTTATACTTGATGAACAGTATAATTTATAGGATTCTAGGTTGGAAATTGCTGTTCTTAAGAATTTTGAAATTTCACTTCATCATGTTTTTAGCATGGGTGTCATTGTTAAGAAACAACACTTTTCTAATTCCTAACTCTTTATTCTTTTTTCTTCCCTCTAAAAACTTTTAGAATCATGTCTCTATTCTGAGGGTTCTCATCTTTTAAAAGATGTGCTTTAATGTTTGTGTTTTTACTTGGTAGGCCTTTTCAGCATGAAAATCCCTGTTCTTCAGTCCTGGAAAAAAAATTTTAATGATTAATTTGATCATTTCTGCCCTGTTTATTTTTTTGTTCTCTTTATCTGGAACTCTTAGTTTTTTGTCTTGCTTTGTTATTTCTTGACTAACTGGCCAATAAATGAATGGAAAAGTTTACTGAACATATTTTGTAGCAAAAAGCTTAGTAAGCAACAAAGACCAGTATCAGAACTATATCTTTAAAACTAAATATCTTAACATAAATTATCAAAAAATTTAACCACACTATTTGATTACAGCTTCGCAGTACTACAAAATGTAACATTGCTACTCTCATTTCAGGTAATGGAAAAACACAGGACTGGTTTCCTGTTTGGCAGAAATCCTCGATTCAGGTCAGCCATTCCCTACTACTGCTGCAATACAATTCACTACATACCTAATATGGACTTGGTATTGTCTATAATGTTTACACTCATGCCCGACAAAATAGTCACCTAAGTAGTAGAAAGTGCTTAAGGTCGAACGACAGAAAGATATTTGTGGTCTTCTTTTGGTTGGCATTAAACACTGACCACTCTCCTCTGAAATCTAAAGAAATCTTTGCGGCCTTACCTGGAATCAGAGGGATGGACTCTCAAGATTATTTTTCAAACTCTGTACATAATTATAGCACTAATTAGAGGAAGGAAAGGTTCCCATGTAGCCGGGGCTAAATCTAAACTTTCCCCACCACGGCAGAGTTTCTCCACCCCTCATTGAAGTGGCTGGAAGGAGGGAAGACCGGCGCCCTGGGCAGTAGGTGACGACACCCTCAGCGCAGGTCCCTCCAGTCCCTCACACTAGCGCACAGACCTCCTGCGCAGGCGCAGAGTCGGGAGTCCAGAGCGGGAGCCTCCCGGGCCCTCCCACACCCGCCACCCCCCGACTCCCGAGTGCGCGCGGCCCAGCCGACAGGTGAGCCCCGCCGACAAACCGCCACCTGCCAGCCGGCCGCTGAGCGGGGCTTTCCCAAGAGGAAAACTTCCAAACGGGGGGTTGGGGAGAAAAGACAAAAAGGGCGCCCCTGGCTCGCTCTCCCGCCCCGCCCCACCGCCGCGGTGTTGGACACGCCATCCAGGCCGCGCGTGGCGGGTGTTGGGTCCCCGGTCCCAGGTCCCTCGGGCCGACGCAGGAGTGTGCGGAGGTCCAGCGGGAAGTCCCTCTCCCGGCCTCCGCGTGCTCCGCTGACGTCGCCTGGGAAGTTTGAGGAGGGAGGAGCTCGGCCGGCCAGGCTGGGCCCGCGGGAAAGGGAGAGCCGCCCGTCAGAGGAAGCGCCTCCCGGCCCGGCGCGGCGCCACAGAGCCGACCCCAGTCCTTGGAAGAGAAGGGTCGACTCCCGCTCCAGCTCCCGTAGAGCATTGGCTGGCGGGGGCCACCGGGAATGGGCGAGCTCGGGACCTAGCGTCCCGGGGCAGGAAGGGCCTTGCTGGCCTCTCTCGCGCAGAGGCAGAGCCCTGCGGCGGGCACACCGGAAACCGGTCGGCGGCCCGAGTGCCCGCGCCGCCCGCGACGATGAACGCGGAGGCCATCTGCAGCGCCCTGCCCACCATTGCCTACCACAAGCTCGCCGACCTGCGCTATCTGAGCCGCGGCGCCTCGGGCACCGTGTCGTCGGCCCGCCACGCGGACTGGCGCGTTCAGGTGGCGGTGAAGCACCTGCACATCCACACCCCTCTGCTCGACAGGTAGGGTGCCACCGCAAGTCCGGGCAGAGTCGAACTCTGCTGCATCCGCCCATTCCTACTTCAACCCTCAGCGCGAGTGGTCGGGCTCCAGAGCCCAAAAGGCAGTGACCACCTTGGGCCCGCCCCACCCCTTGTCACCTCTGGGAAATTCTTCAAGCTTGGGGTTGGCCTGGGGGGCGCGATGCAGGGATTTCATTCCTATACTTTTCTCTCCAAACCTCTTAACTCTCCTAGGCGTCCTCTCTGTATTGCAAAATCAGCAGCCATAGCTACTGAGCCCATCTCTGAAAGCCTTGTTTATTGACTTTGATGTGTGTTTATATAGTGGATGTGAGTTTTGTTTGACCCCCACTCTTCAGTATTATTTTTACTGAAATCTGGCTGGAGCCAGATTTGGCTAGGGCTGCACTGTAAGTAGTAGTTTTGTGGCCATCGAATTGAAATGTGCTGTTAGTGTAACACACAATGGATTTCCAACACTTAGCACTAAAAAGAAAGTAATAGTTTTATACTGATTACATGGCAAAACGTTCTTTTTTATTTATTGAGTTAAATATAAGATATTGTTACAGTTGATTTCACGTGTTTCACTTTTTAAAAAATGCAACCACTAAAAATTTAAATTGGGGCCAGCAGATGACATAGGGGTTATTCCGCTGGCATGTGGCCCACCACCATTCGAATCCAGGACCCCAGGTGGCTTGAAAATCACACCAAGCGCCTGGGGAGTGATTTCTCACTTTCCTTCTCACTGTCTCTGTCTTCCCCTCCCCAAAGAGCACAGGTGGCCTAAGGCAAAAACCTCTTACAATTTTTTAATAGTATGTGCATTATACATTATATTTTTATTAATAGTGCTCACTCAGAGTCTGGATGTTTTGGTTTGGGGGCCTTTATTGCTTTTGTCATATTATGATTTACCATGTATGCTCATGAAAGTTTAAATGTCAAACTCAACATTAGCAGTTTAGTTTCTCCCGCTCTCACAGAGAAAATGTTCTGTGGAGAAAATATATATTGGTTTTGCTAACAATAAATTGAAGCAAGAGATTAATTTCATTTAACACAAAGGCCAAAAGCTGTCTGCCATCCTGGAGCAATTTTAGTGTAATGTCCAGGTTTTAAAGGAAGGCTAGTACTGGTTTCTGTTTCCATTAAAACATGACAACCAGTGTACTGGAAGTTTCTGTCTGTGTATTAGTCAGTGATCTAGTCACTGGTCTTGTGCGTTTTCCCTCCTCTGGGAATTCAACTAGGCCCTGCAATTAGTTCCTAGTAAGTTAATATCCATGATTGCCACATTTTGTTCTCCTCCCTCTATATCTATTGTGAAAAGACATCCTGACAGATTCCTGGCCAGAGGATGTTTGGTATCTAATACCAGAGAAATTCCTCAGCTTTGGCCCTGCCAAAGTTAATGGACTTCCATCTGCCTTGGTTTTTCTTTGCTGTCTCTTCATATCAGACTTGAATGGGCTGGATTGCATTATAGATCTAGAAGGCCTCTAGAGATTTATTTCCACTTTGTGTATACCACAGTCCGGGTTCAGTGATATACAGGGTGTTATGTCTGCTTACCTGGGCCTTGTAGTCTGTGGAGCAAGTGCTGGACAAGTGTGTATGTGTTTATGTAGTTCATTTTAAAGGGTGGGGACTGATTAGAGGGGATGGATACATTTTATAACCAAGTATGGAAATACAGTGTTTATGGACCCATAGGATGTTCTAAAGCCAGTTGATCTTCCCATTTTGGAAACTACTTCTCAACATTGTTCTTTTTCTAAAGGTTTTGCCATTTGGTAGCCAAGCAGTAAACAAGGAATTCCTATCATTAACAGTTAGAATCGTCTAAAATTCTCAGTGAATTGTATAAAAATTAATCCTGTCCTCAGGAAAACCATATGACCAGTGAAACACTCTATTACCACATCACGTTCTTTTTTCCTACTTACTGACTAAGATCTCAACATTAGCAGTATTTACTTAGTCCAGGCATAGAGTTAGGCTATGCAGTTGACTCACAGGGTGTCCATTTACTCACTTATAAAGTGGAAATAATAAGCACATGTACTTCTTGGGCCCTTGGATAAATAATGTTTGCATTGTTCTTTGAGATCACTTGAAACAAAAATAAGCTTATATCATGTTGCATGTTTTTATTTAAGTGATTAATGAGTCATTCTTCATAACAAAATGTCTATCCAATGAATGGACCTTCCTGAACAGTCTTCCCACTTCTTATGAGTAGGCTCACTGGTTGTTCATATACACAGCAGATGACATAACTGTTTTATTGGTTGACTTTTTGAGGTGGGTAATTTTGGTACTATCAATAGAAGTTTATTTTACATATTTATTTTTAAACCTATTTTTTAAATCTTTGGCTTTATTTTCCCACTCACTCATTTTTGACAAAATCTTAACTTTCAAAACTTTCCTACTTCCTTTTCTGATCAACAGCAAAGTAGAAAGAACACAGGCTTTAGAGTCCTTTCTTTGAAATTCAAATCTTACTTCTACTCTGCCACTTATTATTCCTATGACCATTAGAAAAATCATGAATTTTTCGGAGCCTCAGCGTGCATATGTAAAGTAAGGATAAAGAAACCAACTTCAGGGAGTTGATCTTAGGATGATAGTGCAATAGAAAGTGACTGATGCTGAGACAAAGATTCCTCATGACTCCTGAGAACTGGTGATTTCAGGGCAGGAGAGACAATAGGCAGGTCTTCAGATGAAGATTCCTCATGTCTCCTGATAACTAGTGATTTCAGGGTAAAAGAGAAATGAAGATTTCCTATTGATAATTCAGCCTCCAGCCCACAAACTTGAGTGGTAGGGAGCTCCTCTAGCCTTCTCTCTATCTCTGACTCTGTGTCTCTGTCTCTCTCTGCTTTTGTCTTCTCTTTTTTTTTTTTTTAATTTTTCCTTTTTAAAATTTTTTAAAGGTAAAGTATTCTCTGGCTCTCACCTCCACCTTTGTCTTGTTAATAATCCCCTCCCCCACACACCCCCCACCCAGGCAGGAGAGACAAGAGAGGCAGGTCTTCAGAGGAAGATTCCTCATGGCTCCTGAGAACTAGTGATTTTGCATGGCACGTGAGCACACCACACCATTTTCTATTTTGTGCTTTTTTAAAGTAATAATAATAATAATTTTTCTAGTTTTTTCCTTCTTCCTTTTCCCTTTCTTTGTAGTTGTCATTGTTGTTTCTCTTTATCTGTTTCCTTTTCTTTTTATCTCATCTCTCCACTCGTCATCTCCATTTACTGTGTTTCTAGATTGATCTAATGGAACTTTAGCCAAACATCCAAATACTATTAGGGTTAATATATTCCTCAATATCTACTGGATCTGCTACACAAAGGGATCACAATGGAACAGCAAAGAGATTCCAGATCACCTCTTTCTGCACGCTCCTGAACACTCTGATTGAACTTCAAGAATTAGGAAGAAACCCACCATCCATCAGATGACTAGAAATTACCACAGGACCACAAGAAATATAGGAAACCAAGAAAATACCTCTCCTCCCAGGGAAAAGAATAACTCCTTTTCATCTACAGACAGTTCAATAGAAATTATGCAAATGTCTGATAAAGAATTTAGAATATTCATAATGGCGAAGCTAACAGAGATAGAAGAGAAGAGAGGCAATGAACTACAGAAGAGAAAGGAGAAAGGAGATGATGAGTTCTAGGAGGTGAGGAAATTCTTGCAAGATCTAAAATAGGAATTACACACTTTAAAAAAGAATCAAAGGGACCTGTTAGAGATGAAGTTTGACTTCCTGTATATATATACACACACATATACATATATACACACATATACATATATATACATACATATATATACATATACATATATATATACAT